TCTTGTAAAATAGGTTTATAGATAGTAAAAGTTTAATTTGCTCTCATGAGTTTATATCTGTGGTTTTAAATGCTGCTCTCGGAGAAATATGTTGAAGCTTTATATATATGGACTTTCAAAGTTTATTTCCCCTCCCTTTTTTCTCATTTAAAATATATATCCGACAGTAAAACTGTAAAAATTAACATCAAAACACCAAACGGTCTGATTTGGGTTGTGCGTTAGATGTGGTGAGACGCGCTTTTAGCAAGCGAAATCGTTGAAACCTTCATTTCACGTGCTTTCAAGTTCTTAAAACGCAAAACCACCATTAGTTTCGCACATCTGCCTATTTTTGATTATTAGTCAAACATTTTAACTTTGAAATCCATTTGCTTTGAGCAGTGCGCATTTCATACTTGATTTCATCATGGTACAAAGTTTGACCAGGTCACTCTTCTAAGTGGGCACGGGATGATCCCAGAATACCTAATGAAAACCCTTATTTGCATATGACAATGATATACCTGCAGTTACTGTGCATAACACTCACATTTTGAACTGCATTTAGATATTCGTGTTGCAATCTGTTTAATTTCTGAGAACCCAAGTCGTCTCGGTTGCCATGCTAATTTAAGCTCCTGGTTAAATAAAACATGCAAACAAAATGCGACTGAAGCCATAATATATTTTCCCAGGATGACTCGCTCGTTCGTAGTATTCTCTACGTTCATTTAGGTACTGTGAAATTGGGGCTCGTATTCTACACATCTTCTCAATGTCCAGAGTTCTCTACTATTGCACCACCTCAGCCACCCCAATCTCACACTCTTGATAGCTTCTTTTGGGGCCCATTTTGATCTTCACCACTGTCACCTTATTGGGGAAATCCGAGAAAAGATATAGTAGTCCTAGACCATCCGTGGATTGATGAAATGGCCTGACACATCAAGGGCATAGGCTCATGTACAGTGTTAAGTGATTTTTTTTTGCCTCTTGTGCAGGCGTTCTTGACCCAACTCGTGCTAACTGCTGCAGGCCTTGAGTTGCACGTTCAACCCGTAGGCTAATTTCAAATGATCCTGCTTTTTCGTCTGCCCTATTTTAATGTGATAGTTGCTGATATGGTGATGATGAAAATGTATATTGAACCAAATGTGAAACTGTTGTGGCATATGTGATAATGACTTAAAACTAAAAATGTGGCATTGTCAAAAACAAAGTCTTAAAAAAATTATAAAAATGTCATTCATTTACCTTCTACCCAAGTCTCTTGCAGTGCAGTGTTTTCCAGCAGGCACTTACCTGCTTAGTACAAGGACATGCAATCCATTGACTTGTAAAACATATATTTGCCACAAAATCAATTCAAAGTTTAAGAGTGTCTTTACATTGTATAGAGGTAATGCAAAATGTGCTTGTTGCTATGTACAGATCTTCGAGTTTCTACAGTTCCGTTCTATTCTTGCATATGGTAGTAGGTTAAGGAGCTAAATGCAAATTCTTTGGTTTACTATATGGTCCAAAGAATTGTGTTGCATGGCCACAGTCGCACCGCTGTGGCTTGTCTTTAATATTCCATTCACGAAGGAGATGTGTCCATCGGCCTGTTTATGTTCTGATGCGGTTGATGGTTACACCAGTGTCTTCGAGGAGGAGGAATGTCAAAGCGAGGAGGTGCGATGTTTGGGTACCGAATGAGGTTATTTCTGGACGTCCGCGTAGTTCCACTGCGTGCCAGCGTTCTTCTGGATCTGGGTGAGATTCTGGGATGGTGACAGCACAACACAGAAGTGGGATCTTGTGTCGGTGGTGAGGTACTAAAACTGTAACAAGGTTATCTTTCATTACTGCCAGAGACACCTTTTGTATAGTGGCACATTGGCTGTTAGAACAGCCTGTAGCAAATGCTTTGTTAAATGTATCAAAGACACAAAATCACCCAAACAAAATGACCTACTGACAAAATAGGCTTGTGCTAAATAGTTATTGCTGGTCTGGCACAGATTCAAGTTTCAGATTTAATTGGGACCTCCTAGTTAGTCCGGCATATAATGACAGGCCGTCGCTCCATTAAAATGTCAAATACAGTAAAACCTTGGATTGCGAGTAACTTGGTCTGCGAGTGTTTTGCAAGGCGAGCATTTAAAAAATATATATATTAATTTGATAAACGAGCGAGGTCTTGCAATACGAGTAGTACGTGTATGCACTTTCTCTGCCGAGCGTCACGTGATCACAACTGATTTACGAGCGCTTTGGATTACAAACACGTTTCCGGAACGAATTATGTTCCGCAATCCAAGGTTTTACTGTATGTCAAATGTTACATGTAAATTAGTAAAACAGTACAGGTGATCTCTCCTCTTCGTCTGACCACCACTCACCACAAGAGGCCTTGATCAGCAAGCACTTTAACAATCTCTGCTAAGTTTAATCTCATTTCTATTTATTATGAGTCAAAATGTAAGCTAATTTATAATATTATGCATTCTAAAGTTATTGACATGGAGGTGTTTTTTTTCCAGCATGTCAGCTTGGAACTTAACCCCTGATTTTAACATTGTTTCTGGAAAATTAGAGTTAGCTTGATATAATTTAGAGTTAAGTAGCATTTCCTCAGAATGCGTCCCTAATGTATACTACTTAAAAGTTCACGATGTGAATCCATATTTAAAAAGGACTTTGTAAATAATAGGTAGCCAATGGAAGAATGTATTAGATCATTGCCTGGTGATCAACATGGTTGTGGTTGTTATCTCTATAGTTCGTAGAATGTGTAATATATAATACAAAAATAAGTTCCCAAATGTTTTTCTGTAAGGCTGCAACTATTTATGTTTTTACACCTATTTCATGACAGAATTTTTTTTAGAAGTGAAACTTTTATTTATCAGCTGTTATTAACTCTTTGTTCAACCTAAGCTTGCCTCGTTTCTAGTGCATATATAGGATATAACACGTATGACTTAGAAGTGAGAAACAATTAGTGAATGAACTGCATTGTATTTGATGTGTAGGCCTGTATGGATATAAAATAATCAGGTTAAGAACGATAACATAAACATTTTTCGATTTAAAGCTTTCGTGACTGCAGGGATTCATCTTCTTGGTTCTTTCGGTAAAGTCACATAGAAGGGAAGTAATAAAATAATAAAAATAAAACATAATAAAATAATTCTCACGACAGACCTGGTTTTCACCTGAAGACGGCTGCTTGCGTTGTGGCCGAAACGTCGTGAGAATTATTTTATTATGTTTTATTTGTATTATTTTATTACTTCCCTTTTACGTGACTTTACCGAAAGAACCAAGAAGAACATGAACATTCATAATGAAAATGTAGTCAACTCCTTGACAAGGTTGTAAAGAATTGTACACTCTACCAGAACTCACCCATAGCCTTCATAAGTTCTGTTAGGAAGGACTAAGGTGAATGTCTGGCCAGTCACCCACTGACTATAGCCTGATTTCGGCTGCCCCTTTCCGACCAGATGCTCATGCACTTACCTGCTCACTGATACTTTGGGCACACTGTAGTAGTATGTATATATGTTGAACTTCTTTCATACCGTAGGTAACCAACAATGATTTCAATCAGAGGTGCAGGGAAGGGCAACAAACTAAACGCAAAAAGCATTTATCAAGAAATGTGTTTTCAATCTAGATTTAAAAGTGCATAGCTCCAGTGGCTTCCTCATAACGAAAGGAAGAGCGTCGTTCCAGACGACCGCAGAAGCGCATCTGAAAGTGCACGATGCGGTGACTGTCTTTGTTCGATGTCTAGCCAAAAGCCGCTGCGTGAATAACTGGAGTTTGCATGATGGTTTATGCTCCTTGACGAGATCGGTAAGGTATTGTGGTTCATTTGTGGCAAGCAGTAAAGTGATGCGATTCGAAAGTTACTTCGACAATAATTTAACGGGGGTGTCCTCCACACATTGCATTCTGTCCTGCCAGAATAAGAGTAGAGCAGCTCAGATGACCCCTACCCCCACAAGAGGGTCATGAACACTGCAGGGAATACTGAATTTTTTTTTTACCATTATAGTTGCTTCTACTGCAGTGGTTGCAGGAGCAGCTGCACAGGTCAGACAAGGCTAGGCATACATATACCTGGCTACTGGGCGGCGTAGATGCCCGTCACCCGTACAATCAATCTGCCCGTCCGGCTGCCGGTATAGACGAGCGAGAGTGGTGATGAAGGCTGCTTGGAACCTAGTACCAGCCAGGTGTGTTTAGTTTGTTGTCTTTCCTCCGCACCTCCAATTAGCACGGTTGGCGATATGCACGGTGCGAAAGAAGTTCAACAGACATACATGTGACGGGCACAAAGCAAAAAAAAAATGCAAGTTTATTTTAATTGTTGACCTCGATTAGGTATGTTTCTGTTATGTATTACATTCATGGCATATGTGCCATATTTGAAGACTTAGAATGTATCTACTTCGAATACCGACGAGAGTCTTCGTTCAACGTTTTGTATAATTTTAAAAAGCTATTACGGCCATGTGCTCTTGCATTCGCCTGCAATATTGCCGCTCAAAAACGCTGCTTTCTTTGATGAGCCTGAATAGAACTGCTTTTGTACGTTGCGTTTTTCATGACAACCATTCCGAAGTTGTATACAATACACTGCTGCTCAAGCCGCTCAGTATGTCTCCTTTTGTATGGTGAAATGAATTTGGCCAGGTAGCATAAAAGGTTTTACAAAAATTCCCAGTGCTAATGTCTGAAAGGATGCGGGACTGTTCACGAATTATGCAGGTGAATGATTTGCAGAAGAGTGCAAGTTTGTATGGAATCACTGTGCTTTCTGTGTTATCTGTATTTGATCAAATTATATATTTTTTGCAGCGGGCTTGGTAGATGGAAATGGTTAACGCTCTCGACTGCAACACAAGCCCCCTCTGCTGCCTTGCAGCCGCATGCTGGTCCAGTAGGACCTGCCGCCCTTCTATATTTAGCTGTAATTGGCGTGGGGAGTGCAATCAATTTTTCTTGAGCTTTAATGGCTGTCTTGGTCTGCCTTACCTTCCGGTTACGTGGCTGACTGTAGAAATCCTCATCCTGTGCGATTCTTTTGCCGTGCCTTGAGAAAGCTACATTCGGCCGCATACAGGATTGTGCCGCTTTTGAAATCCTTGCAGCGAGCAACATAAACATATATGAATGGACTTTAACTCGGGCTTTAAGCTGCGACCACTGTACTTATCGCTTGGTGGTGGTGGTGGAAAAAAAAATAGCTGTGCGGCCGCTGTCTGCGGAGTGTGATGAAGAATTTCACGAGCCGAGAGCGCTCTCGCACCGCGCGTGGTGCACGCGAACCATGAAGAGGCTCCGGCAAGAGAAAGGGGCAAGGTACTGTATGTATTAAGCGCATCTTCAAATTATATGCACGGTAAGGGGGAAACCAGAGCCGTCTAGCTCTGCCAAGGGCAGAGCGTCCTCTGCTTCCACGGAGTAGCGCGTGCATTGTTATTGCGGCGGTTGAGAGCGAGTGCGTGCCTTTGCCGTGCTCTTCCGCGAGCGATCAAGGTGAGTGATGCTGTTTAAGGATGACATCAATTCGTTTATGAATGCAAAGTAGACGGGCGCTTCTCCGCAGAAATCTTGCCCGCGTCTTTGGACATGGCATGAGTTTTTGGTTTGCCTTTATCTTGGCCGTGCAGCGATTGTCTGTCCCGGGTCTGCGCTGTTCTGCTGTCTTATGCCTACAATTAAATTGCCTTGATCTCACAAATTTGTATCCTTTAAAAAAAAGAATGAAGAAAATTTCGTGTATTGTATAACCAAGCAATGTTGTTATGTTTTTAGTTGGCAGTTTTGCCACCGACTGGATTAATGTAATGGCCACATAGTCACTGTGGGTGACATTCCTTGATGACTGTTTTCATTGTACACATGCTTGCAAAGCAAGTGTGCAGGAGCATTTAAAGTGTGTAATGTTGTATACCAGTAATCTTGACTTATGAAAACCATTGTACAGGATCTGCACAAATTGCTTTTTATATGCCAATGTGGCCATGCAATGTATTTGTTATTTAATTGTAATTGTGTTTAGATATTTAGTCGGTGAATAAAAAATGGAATGTTGTCAACCACTGCTTATACAGTACATTGCAAAAAGAGAAGACACGCCAAAAAGTCAGGCATACAAACGGTTTTGTTAATGCTGATGTTAAATTATTAATATTTGTTCTCTGCATATTTGGTGGCACTTGATTATTATCTTCGATATTTTGCAAAACTGGTCTCCATTCACAATGAATTGCCTTTTACTGGTACTTTAACAAAACGTAAAATATCTTTCAGTTTATTTGCCTTCAAGACTTAAGTGTACCAGCAGCCTTTGCTTAAAGATGAAAACTGAATCCTGTTTAAACCTGGAGCTCATCAGCAGAGTTAGCCATGTGAAAGAAACACTTATAAATTTTACATACAGCATTTTGTGAAGAGCAATGAGTGTTTTGTATGTTTTGCATTGACTTTAAAAGGTTGATTTACCTGGTGAGGAGATAATCAATGAGGACAGAACTAACATATCCAAGCAGTTTATTTTTCTTCGCCACGATTTCCAAATATTAATTGCATTCTTATATTTAACCCACTTTGATCACGTGCGATTAACTACCAATCAGACATTTAGCCAATCGAAGGTGGGCATTGTGAAATATGCCTGAGAATGAAACCCTAAGTTGGAACATTTCTAGGGCTAAAATACCAGATTTTATTTCACATCCATTGAATGACGGGCTTGATCCAGGCTTGGCGTATTCGGCAGAGCCCTCCGCTTGCTACCTTTGCTAAGTAGAGCGGAGCATGTCAGTCCCTCTCCACGCTTCAAGGGGTCGGTGTAGTTGAAGCACAGCGGGGCACTTACCTACTCCGACACCTCGGAGCTCCCACTCTCCCTTGAACAAGGCGAGAGGGAGTGGCGGTGTGCGCATCGGGTGACACGACAAGGCTGCAGAGCCCCCCTCCTGCCCCCATGCATCCACGGGCATGAAGGATATGATTTTGTCTTTGTGTCCTGTCCGCTGCAACTATGATGCCATTCGAATTTTTATTGGTGGTGGGCCAAATGCAATCGGCCTTGAAATATATTGGAATATCGAAGGTCCCTTGCAGCTGATATTTTTGCGTTGAACGCATTGACTTTTCAATTGATGAATCTACCGAATAGGTCAGGCATAACGCTGTATAAATGCCGTAAAAGCGGTTAACAACACTATCAGACAGCTTAGTGGTGTACATATAGTAAAGTACTCTCGCTGCCAAATATATACAGGAATTTTAAGATTTGACAAATATATGCTCCAAAGCGGTCAACATTCAATACACGCAGCATTGTTTTGAGTAAGTACATTCATGGGCTTCATAGATGTTTAAAACATTTCCTTGGGAAATGGGTATATGGATCTCAAAGGCTTAAATATTCTGTTGTTACTTAGGCGGCAGTCACGGCGTGAAGTCTGTGTTCATTACAGTTGTTTGCAATTTTATCCTTCGAGCCAAAATATTTGTTTATATTTTTCACAGTGCTCTGTTTACATTTCAGTTGCTTGCTTTCATTGACCTTCTCAGATGTCATCTTAAAGACTATGTTATGTGCCCAAGAACATACGAACCCTCGCATATAACATCGTCTCTCTTTCTCCACTTGTAGCGCTACACATAGATTATAACAATATTGGCCCGGTGCGTTTTTTTTTGTAAATTGTGATTTTTAGTAGCAATGGAATTGGTAGGTTTCTTATTTTAGTCGTTATTGTTTATATATATAGATCAATTATAATTTATAATAATGTTTCAAATGTGACCTTTGTTTCTGCTGAACTAGCACATCATCTCTAGTTTGAGAGTTAGATAAATACATTACCACTGCTTTCCCCAGGCAAAAGTTTTCAATAATTATGATTATTAACCTGATTTGATCTTCTTAAATTTTTATTTACGATCAGACACTTAAGAACGAATTCAAAAATGTGTATTTGAATTGTTGACTTGATTCTACTTATATTTAAAGACGTAGCCATCGAAAAACTGCTCAATATAAAGATACCGTTATTTTTTATAAAAATAACAAAAAATTTATTAACTTAATACTCTATGGCAGGAAGCTCCTATCTTTTACCGTTATCGAAGTATTCAGATTTGAACATCATAATGCATTTTTTTTGTTCAAAACCGCTTGAATCTGAAATATCTCAAAAACAATAAAAGATGGAACAATGGTTCTTGCTATAATTTTATTTTCTGGTTAATGCTCTATTCAACAATAAAAAACTGCAGTCTTATATTTTGAACAGTTTCTAAATAACACACACAAACATGTTTATGGGGCACTTAAAATCGAAATTTGGGGCCTTAAAATAAAAAATCTCGGATTTTCAGATTTGTCCTTTTTTGTATCAAATTTCAGCTTTCTACCTTTTCGGGAAGTATGCTAGGGGTTTTTGAGACATACAGATTACGGTCTTTATTTATATAGATAGGACTCAAGGTCTTGCAATTGGTAAAAAAATTAATATAAAAATATCGTACATGAAAGTGATTCATGCTGATTGACCTTATTAAATATAATCATTATGCCATTTTAAAGAAGCTACTGAGGCAGCTGTATTATTTCTGGCTAGTGTAGGCTATATGTTCTTTGGCTGAGTAGTTAATTCGTTTTTTTTACCACACTTCAGTGATGGGTGCATAATAGCAGCATTAAGTAGCACGATTGAGTTGCCCTTTTTTTTACCACATATACCAAACAATCTGTAAATTAATCATGTAGTTTTTGCTTACCGGCTCTATTGGCCAATGCTCTGTCGGCAGGCTCAAGAAGAAGTCCCAGTCTCTGGACGCGACCATGCAGGCCTTCACCAACCCCGCCGTGCTGAACCCAGCAGGCCGCTCTGGCTCCCCACCGGCCCGCCTACCCTCCACCTCGTCAGCTAGCGGCAGCGTGGCACCCCCGGTTCCTAGCGCCGCCAAGCCCAGGCAGGGCTCTGCCGCGGAGGAGGAGCAGAACAACACGGCCAACTCGCAGAAGCGCTCCTTCCGCAGAGCCGAGCTGCGTCGCTTCTACACCATCGGTACGCGCACCTCCGACTTGCACGGTTGGCTACGTACGGTGCGAAAGAAGTTCTACATACATATGCTGCCCATCTGCATGTGCCAAATTGTGCCGTGGTGGCTAGATGTTCACTACCTCGCCCAGGATACAGGAGGTCGTGGGTTCGATCCCGGCGCCTGTATATTTGGAGTTTGCATGTTCTCCCTGTGGTCGCGTAGATTTTACCTCCAAGTCCTCCAGTTTTTCTGTCCACATTTAGAATCAACATGCGTTTCGAGTATTTGGCTGCTATAAGTTTCCACATGATGAGGAGCCACTTTTCTTGAGCTTTCATTTATGGCCAGGTCGCTTCTGAAAAAGAGCTATTATAGTTCAGTGGACTTTACCTGGTAAAATAAAAAAAATTGTTGAGCTGTAAACCGTGCTGGTAAAACCAGTGATGAGGAAGTGGGGGGGGGTGGCTGATGATGTGGCCCAGCGGTAGCACGCTTGTTGCAGAGGTTCGCGGTTCTATTCCAGTGGTTGTACTGGTTAATACTGCGATTGTATCACGAGCGATATTTTTAAAGATTCCGTAACGTATTTTTAAATAGAGTAGGGCCACTCTGTGTTGCGGCATCAGAGCGTGCTAAAGTACTCAATGCTTAGTTGGGAAGCCACATAGCAACATCGCCACTTACTTGCAGCTTAATGCTCATTTGCTGTCTGGTGCTGCTTTCACCTTGTACCTCAAGTGGACAGCTGCCACTGGTCGGTCTCCTGCTGCAAGTTACGTCCTTGTACTGCGTGGGAGGCGTGGGTTCAATATTGAGTGATTTTGACAGTGTGATTCTTGTAAAGAGTGCGTTGTTTTTAAATCCTTTATATTAAGTTCACTTGCTTGCTTGCTTGCACGCTTACGACCGTGCCAATCTTTCGGTCGTTTTTTAACCCACTTCCCGTGATCCAATCGAGCTGACATTTTGCACACGGACTCGTTGTGCGTGACAATTTATTTTCGTGAAAATTTTTTTCCAAAATTTTCCACTTTTTTGGGAAATTTTTTTTTCATATTTAATTTAAAATACCAATGTGATAAAAATGAAACTCTTACTCAAGAAAAACAGACATGAATAATAAAATAAAACCGATGCCACGCATTTAAAGGATTTATAGTGAAAAACTTTGTTTTTACGGGTTCATTTTTTTATCACGTCATTTTAATAAAAAATCGTCAACGCCATCATATTCCGCACCTCCGATTAGCACGGTTGGCTTGGTATGGGGCGAAAGAAGATCAACATACATATGTACATATTCGACAGTGCGGTCATCACCACAATCGTCGATGCTGAGCTTGCTTTTTGGGTGTAGCTTTGGCGTCGCTGTTGAGTACGCAGATGGTGCAACGACGACAATGCCCACGGGTCACAGGAACCCAGGTGCTGAGCTACAAAGGGGGGGGGGGGGAGGAGGAAATTGGACACTATAATTATAGGGCACTATAATTGCACATCTTGCAACTTGAACCTCCTTCCAAAACATCTCTTTTCAACCATTTCAAGGCCCTGCTAAAAATCTAGTCAAGGGGACCGAGTGGTAAGCTGTCCCTGTGCGGCACCAGGATTTATTTCCAATTGAGTAATTTGCAAGTGATTGATCAAATTTGGCAAATATGGGCCATGACACCTGGACATATGGCCTTCTCTTTTATCAATAATATAATTTCCTTACACCCGGGCCCCATGCCAAACAAGCTACGCCACTGTGGTAAAGGTCTCCACAAGTTGCTATTATTATTGCTTTGATTTATGACCGAGTTGTGCAAACAATGTCATTCATTGTAGCAGTGTTTTTTTACATGCATTTCCCAAGGGTGACTGATGTCTCAGATTTGTCATCTCTATGCGGTCTCCCTTTGTCACTTCCAATTAAAACGGTTACCTATCCACTCTATTAAGAACATGTTCCTGTTTTGGTCTATTTGACTTGAAAAATTGTCGTTTGCTCCTCACCCATTGCTGCTGACGTGCGAAAGGAGACATGTAATTTAAAACTTTCAATTCTGCAATGCTATTTATTCCACTAAATGTGTCTTACTTAGGTCTTCCCTGTTTCAACTTTACCTTCAATGCTTAGACCAATTTAACAGATGTACCCATTTCTGGATGGTTACAAAAAGAATGAAACCTTATTATTCGTGTTTACCAACGGAAAGACTTAGAGAGTCGCAACTTTTTCAGGAGAGCTTTGTTTTTACAGTCATGCTGCCATGCATTTTTTTCCAGAATTGAGATGTTTGGCCAATACCAAATAAATTTGAAAGATTATTTTTGCGATATAGATCTTACTCTAGATATTATTCGAGTATCATTATATCTGCAAGCGCATCCCTTGATAGGTCGTTTTGTGCCACACAGCTGCCTGCTAGTTTGAAAATCGCTGGCCCAAACGCTTTATGGCTGAGGCAGGGCATAGCATCGATGGAGGACAAAACACTCCGTTCTGAACTCCAGTACATTGCTGCCATCCCCACGTTATCCAAAAGGTTCTTGCCCTTGAGCAACAGTTCTAGATTTGAAGCTTCCGTGACTGCAAGGATTCATATTCTTAGGTTTTTTCGGTAAAGTCACGTAGGTAAAACATTAAAATTGATAAAAGTAAAATAAAATAAAAATCACGACGTTTCGGAGGCAACACAAGCTTCCGTCTTCAGGTGGAACCGTCACAGCCACGACAGCTTTATCAAGTAAATGAGAGATTGCAAGAGCTACCACTCCATATGAGCAACAGATTTGCAAGCGAGTGCCACCTTTCCTTTGTAACAGTTTTTCAGGAAGCTTTTCAACACTTCGAGACCAAGCAATGCAGCACGTCTCCTCTAACTCTGTGCGTGCACTTTGCCATGTCTGTTCAGAATGCAATATCCGTTCCCAACAGTAGCATGTGCAGTTGCAAAAGCAACTACAAATGTTTCAGCAATAGAGGTGGAATGGTCCATAACAAACCACCGATTTATTATTGATGTGTAAGCTTGCGATACATGCATCGAATTGCATGTGCATGAATCGATGTATTTCCATTCATATGCGTTTATATAATCGGTTCATGTTGTCCCTGGAGTTGCTCGAGGTGTTACCATTGACCGTAGCGTTGAATCGCACTGTCTTAGTGAATTGCAATCCGGACTCGTGACAATTTGTCAAATTGCTGGGGAATGAGGGAATGCTCCAACCGATTTAAGCAAGTACCAACTCTATTTTGGTTGTCACGTGTTGTTCTACTGTATTTATGATTGTTATTTATTTATTAGGTATTCAAACATACATCTTCGAGTTTTTTTTTACGAATTGTACTTAATGTTGAAATCCCATCACATGCTTTCTCACTGTAATGGTTATATTGTGGTTCGTTGTGTACAAATGAAAGCTAACAAAGATTTATTTATTCTGAGCCACTGAAGTAAACTCTTTATTTTGCCCATATATTGCATCTTGCAGGTCATGCAAATAAATTGGCACATGTTTGTAATTAATTGCTCGATAGCATTTACTATATTTAAAAAGTGCAAATCTAGTAAGTAATTGGCCTCATACATAGTAGATGGGCATTGTGTATGCATTCTGTCAGGGCGTTTTGAAAAAGAAAATGCTTCCTAAAGAGTGGTTGAATGCTGTTATTTATTTCTGCCATGCCAATAATTTTCAATTAAGGTGGCATCTGCCCATTGTATAAGCACTTCCAATCTGTTAAGAAAGTATTTAGATTATTATTGCAGAGACTGTGATAACAATGCAAAACATTATTACAAATTACATTTAGTGTGCCTTGAGTTACCTCTCCAAATCAAGTAGTGACTTTTGCTTAAATATAATTACTGTCTGGAAATATTACAAAGCTCAAAACGGCCTTGATTCTCAGTACCTGCATACCCGTCTGCCCCCCCCCCCCCCCCCCCCCAGACGTCTGTTAGATATTTATACCTTGCGCTCCTCAGGCCAGGACCTGCTATCTCAGCCTACAATTTAGCATTCTACGCTGGACGGTAGGGCATTCTCGAGTGTGGCACCTAAGTTCTAGAACTCTCTTAGATTTGCCCGAGCGCCGAACGGTTCAGAAAACTCTGCAAGAATTATTTTTTCCCTTTTAGCTTTTCCTTGCGTGTGTCCTCATTTTGAGATTTTTTTTCTCTGTCTTGATTTTATAGGTAGGACAACCTTCGTTTAATTCATACTGTAAAGTATTGCGATGTCCTCTTTATCGAGGGCGAGCTTTTACTCAAAAAATCATTTGAATTAATGCATTGCAAATTACTAAACGTTGAAATAGCATAACGCTGCCAACGTCATTGTTAAGCGGAACAATCTAAAAAAAGAAGGACTGGAAATTGTTTAGCAATGGAAATTTTGAACCTATATTATTTTTGATTTTGGTAGTGAATATATGCTCACATGCTGCAGAGACGAGAGAGCTTGCAATTAATATAACTGTAAAAATTCCTTTTGGCGTGTATTATGGTGTGACAATGGTAAGGATATTCAATTTATATATCTTTTTAAAATGGCAGTCATCCAAGAGGTGTTTTAAAATGTGAGAATGTCAGTAAGTGCAAAAAGTGCCAGGTGAAGCCAAAAAGACCGGACAAAAAGTCGCTGGATATCCCACGATGACCAAAGAACTGTTCATATACCTGATAGAATGTCTCCGTTTTATAGTGTTCTATTGACACCACAGGTAGGACAAATCTGGGAACATTTTAATGGTGCATTTTACTGTACGTTTCATGATTAATAGCGAGGAAGCTTACAGTTTATTTCCTGAGACCAATAACAAGTCTAGTGATATTCAGCAAGATGTAGATTCTCGAGTATTGTTGAGGGTAATGCACATCCTGATTAACAGTGTTTTTTTTTTTATAGCATGACAGTTACACTAATCGGCGATAAACAAATGGCACACTGCAGTATAGAGACCATTGTTGTACGAGTATGCAGAGTGAATGTCATCTTAGTGTAGTCATTTTTTCAAGCAATTGTTTTT